AGAGAGAGAGAGAGAGAGAGAGGCAGAGAGAGGGGGGACAAAGAGAAAAAGACAGGATAAGAGAGATCGATAGAAAATTATGTCGAGGAGGTGAGGTATTGTGTTTTGAGTTTGGGTAATCGATGAATATGGACTATACTTCATAACCTGTCGTCAATCAGTGAATATTGTTTCAAATCTCAGAGCTTACTTTACTGAATGCATTGGGAATGTGTGGGGCTTTGAAAGGTTTTGTCTCTATGATCTTGTCAGTTCTGTCGAGGTTTGCTTTGTTATATTGTTGTTTTGCATATTTTGAGTTCAGCGTTTTACGACTGTTGTTTTCGTTTGCTGTTTTGTTCTGTTTTGTTCCATACTGTTTCCGTTAGGCGTTTTTTTTTTCAAATACTCTTTGGTTTTGTATTCCATTGTTTTGGTTTATTGGCTGTTTTCTTTTTGTAGATTGTTTCTTTGCTTGTTTGCTTGGGGGGGTTGTCTTGTTTTGTTTAGTTTGGATTTTAACTTTTGGGAATTTAGAGGTTTGGGGGTTTTTTGTTTCGTTTTTGCGTGTATTTGTTTTTAAGGGGGAATCGACGTCTGTGATGTAGCAGTTAGGTGCTTTGCAGGCGCATGCAGGAGACTCGAGTTCGATTCCTTAGTGAGGAGCGCATCTTTATCAATAAGCCTATCTTGGTCTTTCTGCTGGGGCGTTGTACTTCTCTCAGCCCGGGTTGGCCCTGACAGGCAGATTCAGAAGCCGTCTCCTAAACTATCTAAATGTTGATGAAGGCGTAAGAAAACACCTACATGCATTTGTCTTTATTATTATCATATTTTTAAAATTCCATTTAAAAATACTTATTTATCAGGTGAAGGCGCCTGTAAAGTTTCGTAGGCGTACGGGGGAAAGAATCAGAGCCATTTTCAACTCCAAATATATAAACCCGAACAAAAGAGAGGGAGAGAGAGGGAGAGAGAGAGATGGAGAGAGAGAGAGAGAGGACTAATCGTCGGGGAGTGTACGGAATTTCTTCTCCTCAAGTAACAGGATCATTTGTCTTTCAAAAGAAACGGATCTTGCTACAGGCCCTTGAATGAGACCCGGAACATGTTTTTCGCAATAATGTTCTAGTTCAATACAGCTGCTACCCATATGAAGAAAATTACTGGTAAAAGATTTGTAGACCCCGGATGCTTAAACTTTTAAACAAAAATTGAAATGAAAGACAGAGGATAAAAAAAGCCAAAGCAGCACCTTAACATAGTCAGCCAGCGTGTCTCTATAAATAGCTGGTGTCTATAAATAACTATGTTTAATGGTTCCGGAATGATCTGCTGTTTAGGTTGTGCTGTGGGTGGGGAAGGATGGCTGTGATGCCGAAAATACAGATAATGAACTCTATAAAGTTGTAGCAACTTTGACATCTTTGTTGATAATAGGGATGATAACGGTGTTTGCTGACAATGACGGTAATAATGGAGAGGAGGGGGAGGAGGAGGAGGAGGAGGAGGAGGA